TAGCAATTTTGGCAGCTCTAAAATACCTTCAAACTGTCCAAATATTCCACAACATTCTTTTGAAAAGAAGCAAAATAATAAAAAATCTGAAGCTGCTACAACTACCACAAAACTTTTGCTTCTACCAACGTCTGTTTCAACTAATATTTCTGAAGCAAATAAAAATTATAGCGAAATTCAAGAAAATTTAAACAAAATTTCTAATCTTCCATCTTCTCCCCCTCTTCATCCTCCTTTTCCTCCTTCAATTCCTTTACGTCGTCGCCCTCTTTCGCTTTTGCTTCTACGACAATCCCATCGTCAACAACAACAACGTGTTCAAATACCTCCTCCAATCCTTCCCAGTGTGAAGTCTTCTCTTCCTTCTCTTCCCTCTTCCTCTTCTCTTCAACAACAGAATCTTCTTTCTCTCCCGCATCAAGCATGTGAAGCTAAAGTTGCTTCAACATTGTCTAAAACGGTTGATAACGAAGCACAACCTTTAAATGAAGCACAACCTTTAAATGAAGCAAAATCTGAAAATCCCCCATCTTCAAACTTGAAGGAAGAAGAAGATCCATTATTATTTGAAGAAAGAGTTAAAGCTGTGAAGCTACGACGTCCAGCAGCTAATAAACAAATAAGTTCTACTAGTAGTAGTAATAATGCTTCAGAGTTTTGTTCAACTGTTGCTTCAGTTTCTACTAGTGTGGCTGCTTCAACTTCAGATAATAATGCTAATAATGTTTTTGCTTCAACTTTTCATGCTTCCAACAATGCTTCAGACTTTTACCATCCAAGCACTGCTTCAGTTTCCTCTGCTTCAAATTTATGTCCTTCAACTAGACGAAATTCTACTACTATTAAATCACAATTAACAACTATTTTTCCTTCAACCAGAACATTAACAAATTCAAATATGAAGCAAATGGAAAATGTTTCTGTAAATACAAAAATTCGTTCAAATTCACAAGAACCTTCAAATAATCTTTGTATTGCTAATAAAAAGAATAATAGAATTGAAGCATTAAAAGATGAAGCACCACAACAGAAGAACCGTCCTCATTCTTTGTTGTTAAACTTTATTTCTGCTAACATGTCTGTTTTACGTAACAAGACAAAATGGTCGTCATCAACTTGTGCTGCTTCAACTACGTCGACCACTTCTTTAACTACTTCAACTGCTTCTGCTTCAACTTCAGTTGTTGCTTCTCCTAGCGCAACTTCTGCTTCAACTTGTTCCAATCAAGTTGCTTCAGTTTCTGCTTCATCTTATAACCAAACAGCTTCTGCTTCAACTTTCCTTAATCCTGCTGCTGCTTCAACATTTATTGTTCCTTCTCCGATCGTTGCAGCAAGTAATAATCAAGTAGCGGATTCTGCTTCAACTTGTTCTACTAATGCTTCAACTTGTAAAAATGCTTCAACTTGTCTTAATTCTGCTGTTTCTGCTTCCACTCCTATTTCTTCCACAACAACAACCTCCTCTACCTCATTTTGGAATTTGCTTCCATTTTTTGGAAAGCAACAAAATACAACTAAAGCAGCCAAATTAAAACGAAGAGAAGATCGAAGAAGAAGAGGCTTTTCCTTTCCAAATTTTCATCTTCAAAATGAAGCAATCAAGCTTCCAGAAACATTAAAAATGGTTGCTTCAGAAATTGACAGTAATAATAAAAATTGTTGTAGCAACAAAAAGAAGCTTAATAGTAGAAATAGTTGTTGTGAAGAATTAAATTTATCTTTGCTTCAAGAAAATGATAAAATTAATGGGAATGTTAAGGAGGAAGATAATTTGATAATGAGGGACGTTTTAAGGGTGAAAAATAGAAAAATAAAAATATAGGGTATTTGGGGGGGGGGGGGGGGGGGGGAGGAGAATGTCCCTATTATTTATGGGGGAGAGTTGCTTCTGCTTCTACTTTTCCCTATTAAACAAAAAAAAATTTTTGAGAGAAATTTGGATGAAAATTTTTTTGAGTGTAATTTTGGCATTAAATGACTACTATTTCCTATATTATTCCTAAATCTGAAAATTTCCTTTATTTTTATAGACCCCCAATGGCGCTCAAAATGGAAAAGCTCAATTGACAGCTACCTCATCAGTCTGTTCTCATAATAATTTGCAACGACTTTCTAGTAGAGAAAATGGGGGAGCTCTTGTCAAACAGGTAGACATAAGACTGATTTTGTAAGTACTTTGGAAAGTGGGACGTTTCGACAATGGACGTTTTGTCTGTTGACATTTTGTCTTTGAACGTTTTGTCTGTGGGCATTTTGTCCACGGGCATTTTGGAAATTGGACATTTTATAAAATTGGGCATTTTGAAAGTTGACATTTTGAAATTATCTCATTTCATTTTTCAGATTCTCTCCAAGCCAGGTCCATATCCCCAAATTGTTGTAGTTACAAAAGGCGAAGAATGTGGATTTTGGTTGGATGGAGCTATTGAACTTGATGATGTAGAAAATAGTGACAGCTTTATTTACACTAATGTAGCAAATGTTGAATCAAAACTTGAAACAGATGATGAAGGGGCTCTTTCTTATAGAAGGTTGGAAAGAGAGAGTGTCTACTTTAAGTACACCCCATCTATTCGCAAGCTTAAAATGGACAAAGTAGTTATGTTGAAGTCGGCGAGACGCTTGTACTGAATTCACAAGTTTGTTAGGTGCTTTGTGGCACACGTCTTGCCCGAGTCGATGGTTGCTGAGTTCTGTACTCACAAATATTCACAAAGGAGAGTGCCTGAGGTGTCCATGGGACTTCGGAATGAGATTTGGTCGATAGATAGATCGTACCTTACTTTAGTACTGAAGTAGGGTATATACTAGTGTTTCACCGGAACCGAAATTTTGACCGGAACCGGAACCGGATCCAATTTAAGTTCCGGTTCCCGGAACCGGAACCGGAACTTTTCAAAGTTCCGGCCCGGAACCGGAACCGGAACTTTTAAAAAAATTTTTGCTAGCACATTTTAAAAAATTTTTATTTTAAGTAGGGGTGCGGTTTCGCCAAATTTTTCGATTAAATTCTGCCAAATTCTTCTGTTAATCGAAACGAAAAAAATCCAAGTTTTGGAAGACCAAATCCCCAGCTATTCAATCCCTGATATCTAACTTGCACAGCTCATTGCCTGAACATCACACCCAAATCCCTCTATATTACCTATAACCCCTTGAACTCACATAATGTAACTCAAAATCCACCTTCATCCATCCAAATCCTTCGATTTACCATACAACTTCTTTTCATAGCGCCGCAGGCGAAAATTTTGAGAATTTGTGTGACCAAGTAGCTAGATTTCTTCATTTTCTTGCACCGCAGGCAAAAATTTTGTGAATTTTGGAAGGCCAATCGGGGAAAGACAATCCATATTTCTTAAAAAAACTAATCCTTAGGGGTGTAAAAAAGTTCCGGTTTGCCCGGAACCGATTTGTAAACCGGAGCCGGAACCGGAACCAATTTGAGTTCCGGTTCCCGGAACCGGAACCGGAACCAAAAAAACACCGGAACTTTCCGGAACCGGAACCGGAACTTCCGGTGAAACTCTAGTATATACTAAAGTAGGGCATAACTAAAGTCAGGTACGATCTATCTGTCTACCAAATTTCATCCCTAAGTCCCACGGACGCCTCAGGTATTCTCCTTTGTCAGTTACATAAGCCTATCGTCAGCTTGCGAATAAATGGGGTGTGTACTTGTAAACAAGTACCCAATATTTTTTAAATTAATTTTTCACTTTTTTAGACACTTCCTTGGTCGTGAACATCACAATTTTTATGCTTTAGACCCTCTATTGGGTCCACTTATTCTCAGTGTTAGAGTTGAAACATCTTCGACACAACCTCCTTCCTCCCCAAAATCTACTCCAAATCAACAACAACAACAAAATTATCGTTTAATTTTGCGTTCTCGTCTAGGCACTAAACACCAATTAATCCCCTCAACTTCATTTAATAATTCACGTCCAAGTGCCAGTCAGCTAGCAAGACATTTATACGCGGATATTGGAACTGACAGGTTTTGGCCTGTTGCGTTTCCTGGGGGAAGTGAATTAATATTACAGTTTGATGAACATGTGATTAGCAATACTTACAAATTTGGTGAGTTTTTTTTGAGAAAAATTTTTTAAATGAGCAAAAAAAAATTTCGCGAATATTCGTTGCGATTATATGGAAAACTTGACTATACATAAGAAGAAAGCAGAGAAGCATAAAAACACCCGTTAAAACTTTCCGGAAATAGTGTCTGCCTACAAACACTATTGTAATATTTTATAAGCACTTCCAGTCAGCTTTTCCGGAAACGGCTGTTTCTGTTATGTGTCTGTTTTTCTTATATTTATAGGAAGCCGTTAAACTTTCCGGAAACTGTGTCTGCCTACAATTAATATTGTAGTAACACAAACACTTTCCGTCAACTTTTCCGGAAACTTTTTCTTTTTATGTATTGTTTTTCTTTTATTTATAGAAAGCTGGAAAAATTTTCCGGAAACTGTGTCTGCCTACGATTAATATTGTAATAACACATAACACTTCCGGTCAACTTTTCCGGAAAACTCGTGTTTTTATGTGTCTCTGCCTTCTTTTCGTTAATAAATAGTTCTCTTTTGTTCTTTCCATATCTATTTTCTGCTACTTTCTTTCTCTCTCTTTATGTCCATCATTTTCTGTAGTTTCTTTTCTCTCTTAAACAGAACTATCTAATATAATTTCTCTCATACCTATTTCCAACCTATTTTTCTTTTTTAAATTTATTTTTCATTTATATTTTACTTTTCGCCAAAAAAGTATCGCTTCTCGGCCTTTTGGCTAAGATCAAAGTGTAGTATCTGTTCTTTACGGCTTAATCTCCGTAACGATCCTTACCGGGATCAAAGAGATTAACCAATTTTTGGAAAAAGGTAAGAGTTGGAAGCTTGCTTCCTCTCTGCCGCGCGTCGGCCCGGTCTTGCACTTACCTCCGGGAACGGCGCATTCCTCCCTTATGGGGAGGATTAAAATCTGTCTTCTAAGCAATGCCTTATTTTCAAGGTGTAATCTACCAAAAATTTGGCCAAACAACAGAAGAAGAGTTATTTGGAAATACTTGTGCTTGTAAAGAATTTAATGAATTTCTGGCACTTTTGGGTGATCGTGTGCCTTTAAGAAACTTTGATGGATATCGTGGAGGGCTGGACACAATACATGGGCAAACTGGGAATGAAGTATAGAAAATTGAGTGGATTTAAGGGAAAATTAAATAAATTTTTAAGAGTATTTACACAAAATTTTCACAAAAAGAAATTATGTTTCATGTAAGCACTCTGTTGCCTTATACAGCTGGGGATACACAACAATTACAACGTAAAAGACATATTGGTAATGATATTGTTGCTATTGTTTTTCAAGAGAAAAATACGCCGTTTTGTCCAGAAATGATTCAGGCGAGTTTCTAAAACGCTAACTAAACACCCCATTTATTCGCAAGGAATAACCCTACCCTAGGCTTACCCTAGGAACCGTTGGCCCTAGCGAGAAGCTAATACAAACCCTGCGAGTTTCGCCAACTCCATTAGGGTACTTTGGCCATTTTGAGCTTGTGATTAATGGGGAGTGTTTATAAATCAGTGTTTTAAATTAGGTAGTTATCTTGAGAATAAATGTGTTGTGTTTTAAGGGACACGCCAGAATAGTCGCGCGGCCATAAGGTCGCCAAGCCATAACTTACTTTAAGATTTCCGAATCTTTCCAAATTTAGTATTAAACGATTCCTCTCATCGAGCTAAAGCGATTGGTACCAAAATTGTTAAGGGCCAGAAAATTTTTAGCAAGTTATGGCTTGGCGACCTTATGGCCGCGCGACTATTCGGGCTGTACCCGTGTTTTAAAAAGGCCAAAAAATTTCTAATTTTTTAGTCAAATTTTCTACACTCTTATTTGGTTATTCAACCAATCGAAAACAATAATAGTGACAATAATAACAACACTTCTCCTCAAAATCTCTATTATCGTGTTAGTATATCCGCCCGCAATGACGTCCCTCCTTTTGGCCCACCAATGCCTTCAACTATTATTACTGGGAATAATGAAGAATTACGAGCATTTATATTAACAAAACTTATAAATGCGGAAAATGCTGGATTGAAGGCTGAAAAATTTGCAAAATTAGCGGTGTTTTTTTAAGAAAATTTTTTTAAGTTAGGGTACTATAGTGGTACTGTATAGGGACTGAAATCATTGTCAGTTCAGTTCCGGCACCTATAGCTTATGAAGGGACGAATAATTTTTAGTGTTTTTGGTACCATTCGATAGAGAATTAAACACCCTACAAGATACCAAAAAATAAAAATTTTTGATTGATTGATAAAAAAGTTATAATCGATAAAGTGCCAAAAAATCATATAATTTGAAAAAATTAGTTTTTAGATCATAACTTTTTTATCAATAAGTCGAAAATTCTGATTTTTTTATGTACCATAGTCCTTTTAATTTCTTATCCAATGGTACCAAGAACGTGAAGAAGTGACTATTACTTCATGAGTTATAGTGTCGGGACTGAACTGTTCCGTAATCGATGAACACAAAATGGGGCCAAAAAGGCTATTTCCCCTTACTGGAAAATTGGCCAAAAAATATTTTTAAAACCAAAGGGTTAAAAAAATTTTTTAGGAAAGAACTCGTTCATCCCTTCTCGATGGACTTTATAACGGACTTAAAGAGCGTGCTCAATTTTATGGAGTACCCTTTCTCGAGTCTATAGACCAACAACAACAAACAACAACAATAAATAATACTTCTTTAAATCTAACATCAACTCCCAATTCGTCTAAACAACAACTAAATAATTCCCCTATAATACTAAATACCTCAAATAATTTAAATAAAAATACTTCTATTGGCCTTTTTAGTTCTGTTAAAAAAGCGTTCGCAAATACTCGGTAGATGATACAGATTTTAATAAAAATTTTATAGCGATACTTATCTTATTTTTCTATATTTCTTTTTTTAGTTTATTAATCAGAGAAATCCGTTAAAATTATTTTAAGAAAGCCTTTTTAATTTTGGGGTTGTTTGGGCGCGGAGTGAGTGTTGGCGTGAGCTTTAAGGATGGTTTTTACACTGTTTGAAAAACCTGGAATAATTTAATTTTTTTGTCTATTTGCTCTCCCAGTCTTACCTTTTAATTCTTCTCCAGAAAACCACTCTACAATTTTTAGAATTTTCGATTTAATAAATATTTCAAGTTTCAGTGAAAACACGAACATAAGCGATTTTAATGCATATTTTATTGTTTTTTCGACCAGAATTTCTGAAATGCTAAACCAAAAATTTTGAAATTTTTAGAGAAGATCTCCGCAAATTTTAGAATTTTAGATAAAATTTTCGAGAGATTTTACCAGGATCGCATCATAAAAATCTGCGCCAAAATTCTCATTTTTTGCTATTTTCGGGTATTTTCTGGGGATTTATTTTTTCCAGTTACTGTCTCAGTGCAATTTTAAAAGGCACTTGTCATATAAACCCTACGCCTAAAAGTCCTTTTGTTTCTGAAAATTTGAATATTTTTTCAGTTCTCGTTCTGTCTCCCAAGACATTGCATCGTCCTCATCCCACAATAACCATCACCATTCTTCATTTTTACCAACCAAAAAACACCAACAAACTACCTCCTCTTCTACAACAAAAAATCAACAACAAAATAACCCCCTCCCCCCTTTAGGCAATAATCAACGCCTTTCAGAAACTACAAGTAGTACAATATGCCCAAGTATTAGTAGTGAAAGTACTAATAGTTCTTCTGGTTATTATTGCTCTTCGGCTTCTTCTTCTTCTGGGAATTCTTCTTGTTGTTTGAATAATAATACACGACCTCCTCCCCATTCTCCTCGACAGAGTGGTGTTAGTAAAAGAATTTTGGCTAGAGAACAGAGTGAGTTGGGACATTCTGAAGCGGGATCGGGGTTTGCCTGGGTAGAGCCTTCGGGGGTAGAGTCGGGGTTTTGCTCGCACGGGTGTGGGCGTCGGGGATCGGGGTTTGCCAGGGTAGAGCCTTCGGGGTTTGGGTCAGGGTTTTTGACAAAAATTTGTCGGGGGACGGGGTGCTACTCTATTTTGAAATATTTTTTTGAACAAATGACATTTTGAAATATTTTAGGTCGTGTTGCTTCCTTAGCGATTTCTGATGATAATCATCCTTCATCCGGTTCTTCTACTACTTCTAGCCAAGTGTATGATACAGGAAATGGGCCACCTCCGCGTTGGCGAGCTGGTGCAATCCCGAATGGTTACCGACAGACGGCGTTTACTAATAGAGGGTAATTGGATTCTTAAAGATCACAAAACGAAATTTCGAAACTAAAACAAAATTTCGAAACTAACGCGAAATTTCGGAAAAAGCGACAACGAAATTTCAGAACAAAATCTCGAAACCAAGACGAAGCTTCGAAAATAAAACGAAATTTCATTATAAAAGCGAAATTTCGAAACCAAAAACGAAATTTTGAAACTAACGCGAAATTTCGTCATTTTAGCTGTACTTCAATGGTTTTCGACAATACAACTTCCTCTACCTCATTCTCTCCCAATAATACAACAAATAAATTAATTCGTTATCCTCAACATTCTCCTCCTCTTCAACAACAACAAACTCCTCCTCAATTTATTAAAAATATTTCACCAAATAATAGTGATTTAAGAAGAATTGAAGGGAGTGAATTTTTAAGTAGTGATGATGATGTTGATTATGATGAAGATGTTGAAGTGGAAGTTGAAGAAGTTTTGAGTGCTATTGGGGGTGGAAATGAACAACAAGATTCTGATACTGGAATGGTTGGTATAAGGGAGTAAAGTGAAGGTGTCGTTTGGGCGCGGAAACATTTTTGGCGCGCCTTTTAAAATTAATATCCAAAAATGAACCTAAAATTATTAAATTTTGCTCGGATATTTTTGAGAGTGTTAGCTAAATTTATGAAGAATATTAGAATTTTGTGTCAATTATTTCAAAAGTTGTAGTCGAAAATGTTGGTTAAACCTAATAAAATCACCCATTTCTCGGGTGATTTTTGACTAGAACTTTTGGGGTACAAAACCAAAAATTCTGAAATTTTTTTCAGAATTCTTTCAGAATTTTTTCCAGAAATTCTGAAAAATTCTGGAGTATTTTAGACACTCCTTTAAACTTACATGGATCTCTAGGTTTTTATCAGCATTTTATCCGACTCCGCGCCCAACTGACACCTGCGCCCAAACATCCCCCTACCACCTAAATTTCATTTTTAAGGAAAGCATGTCTTCTGGCGACTTACATAATTCATTTAATACAGAAAGGGCTTCTTCTATATTTAATGTAAAACATTTAAAATTAAATAATAAACAACACGAAGCAGAAGAAAAAAGATTAGAAGAATTGGTTGTTGATGTTGTTAGGTTAAAAAATGAAAAGGGAGAATTGTTAAGACAAAATGTTACTTGCCGAACTGATATTAAAAAATTAAAAGAACGGTGAGCGATATATGATACAAACTAGGAGTAATAGTTTCCACACGAAATTTCGGAAATAAAACGAAGTTTCGGAAGCAAACGAAATTTCGAGATTTAAACGAAATTTTGAGAATGAAGCGAAGTTTCGAGAATAAAACGAAATTTCGGAAATAAAACGAAACTTCGGAAACAAAACGAAATTTTGAGAATAAAACGAAATTTCGGAAACAAAACGAAATTTTGAGAATAAAACGAAATTTCGGAAATAATACGAAGTTTCGGAAACAAAACGAAATTTCGTCTCATCCTTTCTTTGAAAATTCCTTCTTGAAGGAGTGCTTCCTTTCCCAAAAAAAAAGAACCGAATTTAAATTATCCCTTTTTAGTCAATCATTATTGGCCACAGAATTGGATAAAGCAAACGATGAAATTCAACGGCTCAAAAGATTGATAAATAAATCATCTGAAGGTTCCCCTGACCCTTCAATTAATTTATCTATTAAAAAACAAGACAAGGAAGATAATAATCAACAAAAATCACTAATAATGTATTTTGGAGATGAAGAAGAAATTACTATGATTAAAAATAATCAAAATATAGTTATAGAAAATAATCAACCCCAACCCGTTCCTCCTCCTTCTACTACTACTTCCCCCTATTTTAATCAACTTTTATTTAGTGCTGAACAATAAATTAAAATTTCTTGTATATTTTTAAAAATGTTTTTGTTAAAGCATTATAAAAATTGATAATTTTTGATTATTTGATATTTTGTGTTCTTTTGTCGTTTTACATTTTGAAATTTTTTTAATAAGTTTACATTTTGAAATATTTTTTAGAGATTGGGACCCGTTTCCCGTTTTTTTGAAGCAACCGGGATGAAACCGGGACGGGAATTCCCGGTTTCCCGGTCCGGGTCCCTCACGGTCAACCTTCAGAACCCGTTTCCCGGACCCGGTTTTTTCAAAAGTCTGATCTCTAATGTTAACCTGATTTTTGTAGAATGCTTTGACCTTCTATAAATTAAAGATTATTAAATCCTCAAGCTTAGATTTTGTTACTAAATTAGAGAATTTCTTAAATGTTGAACTTCAATATATTCTCAAATTTTGTAAATTTCCGCAAACGCAAATTAATAAGTTTGGCGTAATGTTTATTTTGTTTTATTTATTTTTCTCTAACTACTCTCTTATTTTTGCACACTATTTTTCACAGCTTCCCTTAATTTTTAAAAATTTCCTGTGTTTTAATTAGAGTGATCCTGGTGGGATTTTCCGGGTTCTCGTCTTGGATTTTCAGAGACGGACGTTAATTCTATCTCGCTTTAAAGTCTGAATCTTGATGGGATTTTCCGGGATCTCGTTCTAAATCTCAGTATTTTTATAGACAGATGTGGGTATTTCTGGGGTTAATCTTCTTCATTTGATCCTTGACTTGTCACTCTCTTTAATTTTTATTTTCTTTTAATTTAGACTTGTTTAATCAAAAAATGGTTGTTCGAACATTAATTCCATCACACTTTAAAGCTCCTTGGGGTTTTGCAAAGAAGGGTGCTAAAGGACTTCGAAAAATAGGTCCACTGCATTATGAATCGTGGAAATGGCCTGGACAGAATAGAGAATTTCCTGAATTGACTCCTAAATGGCAGAAGGATAATAGAATGGAATTGAGACGTTTGTTTCTATTTTTTATTAGGGAGGGGGGGGGGGTGTTAATAAGAAAGGTAGTGATTGGCCTCTCTCTGGATCCAGGACACGCCCGAATAGTCGCCAAGCCATAACGACCTTAGCCAGTCCTCTCATCGAGCTAAAGAGATTGGTACCAAAATTGTTAAGTGCCAGAAATTTTTTAGCAAGTTATGGCTTGGCGAGGCCGCGCGACTATTCGGGCTGTCCCATCTGGATTCGGCCCTTGAATTTTTCTGGAACTAGAGTCGTTAGCAAAGCATTTTTCGCGGTTCCTCTATTTTTCCCTGACTTCAAGAGGTTGGACAAGGTCCCTAATCAAGGCCAAGGGTTTTCTAATTTCTGAGTAATTGACTGTTTTGTCTCACATCATGAATCAGATAAAGGGGGAAATATTTTAAAAACCGATATCTGCGGCTCTTTTTGGTCTAACCCTTTAGGAAACGTGGTGGCACGCAAAATATTTTCCGTAGTTTTATGAATTTAGGGAATCCTGATTTTTTTGAATTCTGATTTCCTGATTTTCAGAAATTGGACGGCACTTCCTTGTACGTCCCTTTTTCTTGAGAGCACTTGTGTAGCTTCCCCCCACTAAGCCCCGCCCTTTCCTTCTTTTCTAAAATTGCCTTTCTCATTAAAAAATTTTTTTAAAGGATATACTGGTGTTCAACCAACAGGCTATGATGACCCAAATACTGGCAAATTTGTTCATCTACCTGAAATGATTCCAGAATTAATTGTTCCTGATTTGACTGGTTTTCCATTGAGACCTTATGTTTCCTACAGAACTGATATTGAAATTGAAAAAAGGTTTTTTAAATTTGTTTTTGGGTTGTCGGCATTTAAGATGAGTATTTAATAAGTTTAGGTTAGACAAGAGAGATTTTGCTTGGAAAATTATTTTTTGCCCTAGTCTCCAAATTGTGTTAGTGTGTAAAAATTTTGGTTATTTAAGTTAAAATTTAATTTTCTATTGCTTCCTACAAAATTTTAAAATTCTATTTGATCCTTGAATCCTTCCAATAGTCTATTTATGTTCCTTTTCTTTGGTAAAAAGATCGAATCTAGGAACATAACTAGCGATCCTTTCTCTTTGAATTTCCTACTTTTTTGGGTTGGGACCAGGACTGGGCGGAATTGCGGATTGCGAGTTTTTTTTACTTGCGGGCTGCGTTTGCGGATTTTAAAATTAAAATTGCCTCCAGTCCGGGCTGGGCTGATTCCTAATATTTGTAAATTTTTTATAAAATTTTTTTGGGAATTTATTCAGTGTCGGCATGATCCCTGATACTTACTTCGTTTTGATTTTTCTATTTTTTAATTTTTAGGATTGCGAACACCGACAAAATTCTCGCTAAAAACCCCAAAAATCCTCCAATCGACAAAATTTGGCCTCCTCCACCTGTTGACGCCAAATTACTTTTTGATTGTTTTTATGCTGATGAAATAAAGAAGAAATATTTTGAAACGACAACTGAAAAGAAGAAAAAAAGTGGATTTTTTGCGTCGCTAATTAAGAAAAATTGAGGGAGAATTTAGAGGTTTTTTTGTTTTTGTACAAGGAATGTCACGGGTACCTGAAACTCGGACATTTTTTCCGGCTCGAAACCTTCCGGAGAACTTAACGTTTCCGAAACCCGCCTCAACTTTTTTCTAAACCTTACGAACTATCACCAGAAATTTTTGAATAAAAATTTTTGAATAAAAATTATACCATCGTGTAGAGCATGGTCGAACCACTTTTTCTTACCCCCCTTTTCGAAATGGGGTTCAGAAGTAGAAAAGCCAAAAATGGGAATAGGCTATCGACCATGCTCTACACGATGGTATAATTTTTATTTAAGAATTTTCGGTCAAAGTTCGGAATGTTCCCTTCTCAGCTTCATTTTCTCAACCTGTGACATCCCTGTTTTGTACTCTTTTTTGTTTTTTCTTCTGGATAGTTTTGCGAACAAATTTTGCGGACAAATGTTTAAAAATAAACAATTTGTTCCTTTCCCCTAACCTTTTGGTTTAATTTATCAAACTTTTACAATAAAAAATTTTTGTCCGTAAATATTGACCGCAGAAATTATTTAATGTTATTTATATCCTTGTCAGATACTTTTTTTTGAATTTTAAATATAGTAAACATTTTTGAAATTTTTTTTTGTTTATTTTTGTTTAATTTCATTTATTATTTTTATTTGTTTGTTTAATTTTGGTTAATATTTTTGTTAATTTCCAATTTTTTGATGGTTACTCTTCCCTTGCTGTTCAAGCGTTCTTTGCATACAACTGTGGTTAGAGGTTTGTGTTTTTTCTAAAAACATTTAATTATCTTTACTAGAGGTTGGTAAAATCGTATTGGCAATATTTCCAATATGCGGGACGTGATCCTATGAGGCAAATCCCGTAATTCAAAAAATGCGGGATTGTGCGACATCCCGCACCGACCTCTAATTTTTACCATCTAGAGGTAGAAGGCTTTAAGATTATTTAATGGTATTGGGGAAGGACCGGAGAATCCTAACCTTAGATCGGACTGACATGGACTCACGAGCGGGATTACGAAAAAATCTTGGTTTAGCTCTAATCATAGACAGTATTGGGGGTCCGGATTCTCTTATCGGAAATTTTCTGGGAGGGAAGAGAAGCCAAAAGATTATAGAGCATACATCGATTTGCTCAAAGCCACGAACCTGACTTTCCCTTACTATTACTTTTTACAAATTTTATTTTTAAGGACGTGGTGCTATAGCCCATCCAGGATGGTATCCAAGGTTTTTGAAAAATTTTTTTTCTATTTTTAAAATTTTTTAGAGATCACATGCCTGGTAATTATCCAAAAACAGACGAAGAGCGTCGTGCTGCTGCTATTAGATATGGACTTAGACCTGAAGATTACTCGTTTTTTTCTTTATTTTTAAATTAAAATTTTTACAATTTTTAGGCCCTATCCTCCTGACGATGTAAAAAATCATGTTGGAGATTATCCAAATCCTGGAATTGTTACTGCTGAACATAGAGGTATATAGAAAATTAATTTTAATAGTATAAGGTGTAATTTGAAAGTCAAAAACGTTTGGGGACGACGGCGTTTTGAGCAAAACTTTTTTAACCAAATTTTGAGCATTTTGTAGCTCCAGAATCCAGATTTCTTCCATTTTAAGCACCGCAAGCACAAATTTTGGGGTTGCAAACGTTGAAACTCTATAATTTTTTAGTTTCATATTCCTAACCAAGAAAGCCAAAAAATTTTTTTAGTAAATTAATGATGCTCTATTGATTGGTACCAAAAAATAGTACAAAAATTTGACTTACAGTTCGAAAGGTTCCCTTATACGAAAATGACTTGAACTGCTTTCTTGTTTGGGATAGGTTTAAGAAATTTACATTAGATTTTAGGTTAGGCTTGGATAATTAAAAATAGATTTGCTTTAGTGAATTTTATGAAAATTTTTTTATTTTCATTTTAATTTGTCAAAAATTTTTTTTTAATTTTTTTAGATCCATACGACTATTATAGCGATTTTCATCAACGTCGTAATTGGAATGAACCTGTAATGAGACAAGCAATGCGTTTTCGTGTTGAACGGTGTACTTTTACTGGCTTGAAGGACGACGATTATTTACTGTTTGTTTTTTTTGATTCTTTAAAATGATTTTTTGATGTTATAATTGATTGGGGAAGTGGTCCTTTAAGGGTTTATTTTGGCTTTTTGAACACCATTTTATAGGGTAGATACCAGGGCTGGGCGCGAAATTTCGCATGCGAAATTTAGCATTCCGCAATTGCGTATTTCTTATATATTTAATTTATTTGAAAAAGCGTATACGGAGTAATTTTTGTCAATTTTTTATGATTTGTTTTGCATGTATTTTGAACAAAAGTTTAGATTTTTCGCTTAATTTTTAGCAGTGTATCTTTCAGGCAAAAGGCCACAAAACTACAAAAATATTTTAAAATTAGACCAAAAATAAAGGCTCAGGGCTCTTTTAAGTTAGAAAATAAGTTACTCCGTATACGCTTTTTCAAATAAATTTAATATATAAGAAAACGCAATTGCGGAATGCTAAATTTCGCATGCGAAATTTCGCGCCCAGCCCTGGTAGATACATATGCGGGACACGCCCAAAACGGCGCAAAGCCCTTAAACTTGCTTCAAGATTTCCTATAAGGAGATTGGTACCAAAATTGATAAGATTCCACCAAGTTAGCGCCGCTTTTCAGTTATCGGATTTTCAATACCCCGTGACGTTTCTGTCGTCTCTTCATTTTTAATGCTATTTTGGCTCTACTTTAGGACATGCGTCCCATGAACTTTTACTATGCAGAGTTTATGAGAGATAAAAGCTCATGGGACGCATAATAGCTCATGGGACGCATTTTATTTAGAGAGAGAGTAGAGCCGCTATTTTTGCCGCAAAACGTAAGACGCTTTTTATTTGAACGCGCCACGAGGCGTTAAAAATTTTGATCGTTTTTTAAAATTTTTCTTCTTTCCCTGTTCAGAATGCAAAATTTTAAGGATTAAATTAGATTAATAAAATTAGATTTAATCCAATTTCTGGGCCATTTCTAAAATTTTTAATTAAAAAAAATTTTTTCTTCCAGTATGCGTACAATTTCTCTTTTGGCACAGCTTCTAGTCCCTATCGTTGTTTTTTATATAGTAGTGCTTTATAATGGTGAAACTTTGCGTAAAGTGCGGGATTTTTGTGTTGTCCGTTGGTATAATGCAAAGGTTTGTTTTTTTTAATTAATGGGGGAGGTGATGGTGGTGGGGTTTAATAGGGGTTCCATAAGCCTCCAAATTTTTTTTTACAATTTTTTCAAATATTTTCCTCTTATAAGGTAAAAATTGTTTAGCATCCCGAACTGTATGTAAAAATTTTGAATTTATTTTTGTACCATCGTGTAGAGCAGGGTAGAAAACATAATATAGTAGGTTTCTTTTTTGGCCCTGACCCCCATTTCGAAAAGTTATAGGGGTCCAAAGTTTTCGACTTTTGGAGCAGTTGAGCGGTTCCCTTGTTAGACGATTTTACACGTCTATCTAAATAGTTTATTGTGAAAAACCTTTATTGTTAATCCATATTTTCAGATCTCAGGTTTTTTTGTTTTTACACATACTCCTTTCCTCTACATTCCTTTTTCAATTTTTCATAACGATTTTTAAAAATAAAAATTTTTCTTATTATTAATAGAGCCTGGATGGGGAGGGGTTGGTCTATATTCGATATAAAAATATCGAATATCGGTCCGGACTCATCTTATTAAGTAGTTATTTCCTATTTTACGGGGGTAGAGGACGATTCAGTATCGCCAATTCAGTATCGCCGATTCAGTATTGGCCGATTCAGTATTTGGGCTTTTTGGCCATAACTTTTTGCTCGATCAATATTTTAGAAATTTTTAAATATTATTTGATAGGCCTCGGGGTGCTGCATCTTTTTCATAATTGGACTGACCTGATCTGATCACTCTACAAAAAGTTATCACTGATAAACGACGTCACAGGCATAAAAAATCGGTTTTCACGCTGTAACTTTTTTTGTGATCATCAGATCAGATCGGGCCAATTATGAAAAAGATGTGGAATCACGAGACCTTTTGAATGATATGAGAATTATTCAAATCGGTCGAATATCAGGAAAGTTATGGCCATATACTGAATCGGCGGATACTGAATCGGCGATACTGAATCGTCCTTAACCGATTTTACGGGGAGGGGTCAGTCATTTTTAAGTAAATTCCATCAAAAAAATTTTTTTCTTTCAGTTTCCAAAGCAATACCCTTACGACTTTTTACGTGCATTTCCTCACCAAGATCCTCGAGATTATCCAATTTTGAATTATTCTTTTGAACCGGCTGAAGAAGGTAAAAATAATGCTGAGGAGGATAATGCTCGTCATCCTTTTAATGAAAGTAGCCGTTGAAAAAAATTAGAAAGAAAGTTGATTTAAAATATTTTTTGTGGATTAATTAGGGCAGGGATGGGTCGGGCTGACTGAGAAAAATGCCGGGTATCGGATCGGTCTGAGAAAATTTTCTTTGGATCGGGTTTCGGGTTGGCATTTGCAGGATCCTGTATCAGGATTGGGTTTTAAAATTTCGAGCAGGACAGGATCTTGCAGGATTAATCCTGAAAATCCCGACATCCTGAAAACTCAAAAAAGGCAGGATTTTGGACAGGATCCTGAAAAATCCTGTGCGGGATCCTGTCCTGTGCCGATCATGGACGGGGAGAGGTTGGTGCCGATCTCTATTGGTAACAATTTTCTTCGGACCGGATTTTGGGTCGGGAAAAAAAGGCCGGGTTTCAGATGGCCCGATCCATCCTTGTTTATAGGGAAAATTTATTGAGTTGTGTTGTTTAGTATTTTTAATGTAAAAAATAAAAAATAAATTTTTTTTGAGTAAAAAAATTTTTTTATTTTTTTTTTGGTTAATTTGTCCTTTAATTTTTTTTATTTTTTAAAATTTATTTAAGATTAATTTTTAATTTTTTTGGAAGCATTTTTATCAAGTTTTCAGCATATTAATGCATTATTTGGAAGATTTGGTTGAATGTATTTTTTATTTTTTTTTTATTTTTAATGTTTTAATTTTTAGTATTGGGCTTCCTTCCAGCTGAAATGAAAAAGAAATGTGCAGAATTGAGAGAACTTGATTGTCAATATCAAGGTTTTTATTTTAAATTTAATTTTTAGAAATTTTTGAATAATTTTTTTGTCGGGTAAATTTCAGAGAAAATTAAAACTTGAAGAAAAAAATTTATTCAAAATCCTCTCGATAAGGTTGATATGTTTTGATTAGTGTGTTTATTTGAGTTAAATTTTGGCTTAAGTTGATTGATTTATTTTTTAAGTTAAGTCATTGGTTCGATGCCATTTTTTGTTTATTTTATAAAAAATTTTTTTTGGTTTGTTTATATTCCAAGTTACGGGTTCAATGCCTAGTCGTATTTTATTTAATAAAATCAAGTTTAAGAGATTTTCAAGCAACATTTTTGTTGAAATTTTGATAGAAAATTTTTTTAACTGCTTTAAATTTCAGCAAAAATGGAAAAATTGGGTGTTGATTCAGAACAACTAATTGAAGCATATCCTACTCTAACTGCTACAGAGTCTGAAAAGAAAAATAAAGAATTGGAACAGGTTTTTTTTGTTTTTAAATTTTTGTTTAAAATTAATTTTTTTAAATTAAATTTGCGGACAATTTTTGGGGTTTGCGGATTTTTGCAAAAAAAAAGTTTTCCGACTTGATAATTTTATTTTTGGGGGGATTTCTGCTATTTTATTCTTATTTTTAAAAGGATATTCCTTAAATATCTTTAGAAAAAAATTTTTCTTAAAATTTAATTTTATCCGCAAAAATTTTCAATTTGTCCGCAAAAATTTTCAATTTGTCCGCAAAAATTTTTTGCGTCCGCAAATATTAATTTTTTTGAATTTTCTCCAATTTTCAGCGTTATAACGAGGCTCAACTAATTGCAGATTCAAAAGTACATATAACAGAATATTTACAGTCTGTGCTTGAAAAATATAACGAAAAAGTTGTTAAAGACTTGACTGATTTTAAAACAGAATTGGAAATTGAAAATCCTGGAGAAGTTGAGTTAATTGAAAAAGGTTGTAATTTTTGAAAATTTTTGGGGATTTTAATGATTTTATAAGGCCATAAAATTGGGGTTTTTTTTAATATTTTAGTTTTTTTCCAAAATTTTTCCTAAAAAATATTGGACGCAAATTGCGGACATATTTTTGCGGAGATTACTCTTAAAACTAAAAAATTTTTATTCAAAAACAAAAAATTTTTTTGTAAACTTTTTGAATATTCCATGGTTCAGGACGGGAATTTAAATTTCCAATAACCCATTTATTTTCAAAGGTCATCGTTTACTATATTTTTTATGGCCGCAATTTTAGGCTATACATCAGGGCTTCGATCTCGAATTTTTAAAAATCCGCAATTTCGATCGAAAAAATCCGCATTTTATATGAAAAATCCGCAAAAAATTATCAAACACAAAAATTTAATTAAAATCACTTTATGCGTTATATTTTTTGACTCCAACAATTGAATTGAGCAGTTTTTCACTACTAATGACTATCTTATTTAAATCCGGACAATTAAATGAAAAATTACAGTTGACTTGAGCCAATGCTTTCACCGTCCCTTGTTGTAGTGAATTGTTTACTGGAAAAATCTTATTTTTTTTGCGCCGCAGGCGAAAATTTTGCGGATTTATGAAGGCCAAGAAGCCAAAATCGTCCTTTTTAAGCGCCGCATGCGGAAATTTTGGAAATTTTTCAAGTCAAAGAAGCCAGCTTTCTTCCATTTTCAGCGCCGCAGGCGAAAATTTTTTGAATTTTGGATATCCTTAAGCTAAAAATCGTCCTTTTCTGCGCCGCAGGCGAAAATTTTGAGGATTTTTGAAGACCTTAAGAGAAAAAAATGACATTTTATCCTAAAAACTACAAGAAAATTTAAAAAATCCTCATATTCTTCAAAAGACCACAAAAATCCGCAAATCCGCATTTTAAAAAATAATCCTCATCGCCATATCAAAAAACCACAAAATGAGGAAAAATCCGCAGAAATCGAAGCCCTGCTATACATAGTAGGTATTTTTGATATTATTTGGATAGTGAACC